CCCAGTGAAAATCTATAGTCTTAATCATGTTTTTAGTTTTAGCAGTTTTTTTTTTTTTGAGACAAGCTTTCACTATGTAGCTCAGATTGGCCTTGAATTCACTTTGTAGCCCAGGCTGGTCTCTTAACTCCTGGAAATCCTCCTGCCTCAGCCTCCTGAGTGCTGGGATTACAGACATGCACCATCTTGCCGAACAATTTGAGCAGTTTTAGTCTTAGCCTTAGTGAGTGGGAGAGGATGGCCCGTCCCTAATGTGATAGTGAGATTATGGGAAATCTCAGAAGGGTGATACCAAGAATCCTGAACCTCTGTTCATCCCGTAGGGTGGTATGTAAATCTGGCCACTGTGATCTCCAGTCAGTTCTGATATCTTCTCATCTCCTGCTCTGGCTGCTTGAGGGCCCAGCCTTGTATGACTGCTACCAGATTTCCATCTAACTTAGCTGCCTATAATATTACCTATTATAATTCATTTTTTAAAATGCATCCTTTTTGGTCTTTATCTTTTATTTTCTGCCACATTAGCTTTGTAATACAGTTCATTCCTTCATAACTTTTACATATTTCATTATGCACTATTTATAACAGTATGACTATGTAAGCTTCATTCCAAGAAGCACATGGGTTGTACATTCTTTTCTCTGTGTTTTCCCCACAGTTATTAATGGCCTTGTCTTTAAGATTTAATTTTCAGCTTTTTTTGGGTCAAAATTTCCATACCTTCCAATGACGTCCAGAACAATTTTCCTCCAAGGTCATTTTCATCAGATAATCCTAAATCAAAAAGATCAACTTTTCTCAGTTTGTTTTCCCTCTTCCTTCTGCCAGTTGTCACCTTGAGCCTTCATTTATTATCTCTGTAGCAACTGTCTGTTTCCCTGTCTCTGTTTCTTCCTCCTGGCCTCCTTCCTGCTGGCGCCAGTCCTCCAACACGAGTGTCTCTTGAGTCTACAGCTGCAATCTGAACTCGATGCTCTCAGTGTTTCATCCTGGAATTTCCCTTCCTTTTCCTGGGAAAGTTTTTTTTACTGCTCCTCCATGTTGGTTTTCTGTGCCCTGCCTTTCTTGGTTTTGTTTTATATTCTCTTTGTTTTGCTAAATTTTCCCCAAAAAGTAAGCTTGGGAAGTAAGTTTTTCAAGACTTAAATGTCTGAAAATATCCTTCTTTGAAGTTCAGTTAAGTGTTTTCCAGGGTATAGACTGAATAGGTGGTTTTTTTTTTTTATTTAAAGAAAAGGAAACAAAAGAATACATGGAGATAAAAAAAAGGGTAGAAGTAATACAAACTTACAGAAAAACAAACGGTAAGAAATTGCTGGTTGATAAGTTACACATTGTCATCTTAGAAATAGCTGTTCATGTTATAGAAGTATTTAGAATGTATTTAGTATAGAAAGTATTTAGAATGACATTCATAAAGTGACACTGCAAACCGTTCTGCTCTATGATCGAACAAGAGCTTAGTAATATGGTTATCAGTCCTACACATTTGTTTTACATCTCAAAGAGAGTAAGATTAAACATATCAAAACAGAACATAGCAGTTAAAAAAAACAATTTAAAGAAATACAGATTTCGCAGCAAGCCCACTGGAGATCTTCATTGCCTATCTAACTGTCTCTAGTTTCTTACAAATAGTTGTCCCCATCTTCACCCACCTTATATACTTATTGTATATTATAGAACTAATCAAATCCTTGGAGGCTTTTTAGGTCCTCATGTTCCAAATTAGGGAAGACAATAGTAACTACCATCGCATCTCTCATTCTCTTTGTGATAGCTGTCCCCATCTCTACATATGCTGAAATTGAACTCAAGAAACCAGTCCAATGTCATTCTAATCAGCGAACATTAGTATTGCTAGAATTTCTATCATAATGCTAAAAATTAGCCTCGGGTTTCTTAGCATCTCTTCCTCAGAGTATCGAACAGGTGGTTTTAATTTTCCTTCAGAAGCGCGAAGGCCTTTCTTTCTCCTTTGCTGCGTTCCTACTGAGAATTCTGAAGTTACTCTGGTTTCTGTCACTCTCCTTTTTTATAGACTCTCTAAAATGTTTGAAGAATTTCTTCCTTTGTCTCTTTCATCCTTCTGCAATTTCCTCTTTTTGGAAACCTAAATTCTGTCTCAGATTTTTTTTTTCAATTTTCTGACCTTTTCTTTTTTCTTCCTGTCATGTTTTTGTGGCTTCATGGATGTAGTGTTTTCTTTTTTATCTCTGAGGCTGCTGAGAATAAGTTTTCCCGATAGCCAGGTGCGGAAGTGCACATCTGTAATTCTAGCACTCTGGGAGGTGTGACAGGAGAATTACAAGTAGCAATCCATTTTGAGCAATTTAGCAAATCAGAGAGATCCTGTTTCAAAATTAAAATACAGAAAAAGGTCTAGGGATTAATGTGAAGGCCCCTGGCTCAAGTCACAGTAGTACAAAAACCAAAAAGATTTCTTGCTATTTCCTTCCTCTGGATAGGTTTGATTTCCTTCCTGCCTGCATCTCTCCTCCTTTTCCTTTTTCCTTTCTTGATAAAACAATGTGTGTTTAGACTTAGGTAAACTCAGTCTAAATGAACCCGGTTCTGCTGGCACTGTCCCGAGCATCGTGCTCAGGAGCTGGTCAAATATAAGCCTTCTTCTCTCCATCAGGGCTGGTCAGGGCATGGATATTGGCCACATCGATGTTGTACAGCTTCTTCAGAGCTTGTTTGGTCCGGGGCTTGTTGGTGGCCTTGACATCCATAAAGAATGCAAGTGTGGTTTCATCCTCTCTCTTTTTCATAGCTGATTCCGTGTCAGAGGATGATGACAACACAGGGACCAGTCTTATTTCCTTTGGGTGAGTTCTTCTGAGGGTATCTGGGCTGCCTTGCGGACCTCAGCGACTTGCACAGCAGAAGGACTGGTGACCTTCAGATCTTCCTTTTTGTGGTTGTGAACACTTTCCAATGCTATCTTCTTGTCTTCAACACCTTTGCTTTGGCTTCAGCTTTGGGAACGGCAGGAGCTTCCTTCTTAGTTTTTGGCACCATCTTTGTAAATAAGTGTCTTTAGTTCCTTCGCCTTTACTTGCCTGTTTTGATCTCTTTCATGTTGAAAGTTTTCAACAGATATCTGGCGATGCTTGAGGATTACCACAGTCTGACTAAGAGTTCTGAGTATGTGGGCACTACATACTTGCCAACCAACCTTGAGCTTTACAGTAGGGTGAGCTAGCTGGGTCTTTTGTTAGGTGAATCTCTGAGGTAAGCACCTTTAGAAACTTCCTTTTGGAATCCAAGTTTCAGGTTTTAAGATCCTTCTAATTTTCTTCCTCCACAGGGTTCTTAATTAAAATATAAAAACATAGGCTCTATTGAAGTTCAGAAAAACAACAACATTTTAAATATATCTCATTCAATAGTTAGTATGCAATTACACTAAAAATTGTTCATTGTATTTCAAATTTCTTTTATGGTGTTGGAGATTGAACCCATGGTCGTATCTATCCATGCTAGGCAAGTTCTCTACCACCGAGCTACATTCCTGGATCTGAGCTCACCTGGAAGTCCTATTCTATATTTTATCTGGCAACTCTATTTCTAAATCTGTATTTAGGCTTTTATGGAGTCAACCTGGAGAAATGGCCTTGCAGCGTGCTTGTTGGGGATAATAGAGAGAAATAATTGTAAACATTCAATATGACTTCATTCATGTAATCCCCATCAACTGTATCCTTCATCCCTCCATCTAAAGACCATCTGCTTTGTATTCCAGCAGTAAATTCCCAGTCTTCCATTGGAGTACAGGATGTCACTGGCTCATCTGTCATAGGGGACTCTTCACAACTGTCACTATGTTTTCTTACTTAGTCACCACGACATTACTCTCAGCTTTGAGGTGCCCAGTGATCCCAGTGATAGAATCTTTTGGGTACTCTCCAGGGTAGATGGGATTGAGTCTTGGCTTTCCTCACCTCCAGTTCAGGATTTGGTTTCTTAGGTCTCCTGAATCAGTTACCAGTTTTTTTTTTTTTGTTTTGTTTTTTTTTGTATCAGCACCCCAACTTCTAAAACTGCTATGGTCTGTCCTATTTTCCTATACTGTGGGTTTATTTCTATTTTAAAGTAAGTGTTGGCTTTGATAGGTTAATAAGGGAACAAAATAGAAGCACATATTCATTCTACCTTTATCTACAAGTTATTTCTCTCTCATCTCAATACCCTGGCCATGAAATGCCTGCCTGCCATCTATAAACCTGGAGGAAGAAGATGAGCTAGAGATTAATACTTTAATCTGGAAAGAAGTGAAGGTGGATTGAAAGATGCTATTCAGATCTAGTTAAATGGATCTTGCTTTTAGCGAACTTTCCATTTGTGTGGTGAGAAGACTCCTTTACTGAGATTTTTGTATAGAAATAGCTAAAAAGTATAAATACGGAAAAGTCTTTGCTCATATACAAAAGATGTGGCTTGTTTGTTTTGAGACAGGGTCTTCCTTTGTAGTGCAGACTGGCCTTGAACTATGTACCCCAAGCTACCCTCAAACCTGCAGTTTGGAACTTAACTTTTTTACGTATAGAGTATTTTAATTTTTTTATACATTTTTGAGATATGGTCTCAACTCACTATGTAGCCCAGGTTGGCCTGGAACTCACAGTGATCCTCCTGCTTCAGCTTCTGGGATTATAGGCGTGCACTGCCACATCTGGCTCAATTGTGTTCTCATTCCTTTTTTTTTTTTTTTTATAAAAGAGCAGCTAGCATTAAATTAATGAATTAATTAGAAAAATTCACCATAGCTTTACTGAGATGAGATTAACAGTAATTATATGATGTATTATATTATGCTTTGAACACTGTACTGTTATCAGCTTTTTTCTTCTCGATGTTCAACAACTGAGGGTTGGAGACCAAAAATCTAGAAAGATAGGCTAAGAGCAGAGCATGGTATTCTACACATTGTAATGATTAGATCAAGTCAATACACACGTGTGACTTTCTCTGACTCCTCCATGCTGTACTTCTAGGTCTGCACCCTGCTGAAGTGCAAAACTACCAATGTACAGAGCTGTGGTGACTCAGTTGACACAGCCGCTACCAGGTTCGAGATGTTCTCCCTCAGTGGCACTTTTGGGACTCAGTATGTGTTCCCTGAGGTGCTACTGAGTGAAGTTCAGCTTGCGCCCCGAGAATTTCAGGTAACAGCTTTTGCTTGATATGGTCAATTAATTTCATAAAAGAAGACACACTTCTTGACATCAAAACCTTACTCATGTGCTTCAAAATGTACAAATCTCCATTCAGAAAGGACCAGATTATCTTTGTGGATCAGGGAAGACACCGGACAGGCTGAGCTTTTTGTCTAGAAGTTTCTAACATGACACTGTGTCCTCGGATTGAAAGAAATAAATCTTATTCGGGCAGAGGAAGGATTCTGGGCTGCTTAAGGTCTGTGAAGTAGGAAGGAGATCTGACAAAGATAATTCAGCCTCAGCGGAGAATCCCATTGGGGCCACTGTTGAGGAGTGTGTTTGGGAAGGTGATAGGATCCCTCTCCTCCTGCGGGTACAGGCGCGGTGTGACCGCTGGAGAAAAGGAGAGAAGAGTAGAAGGGGACAGAACCTGACAAGTGTTGACAAGAAAGCACAAACTTTGGTGCCCAGAAGTAATTGCCTGCTGCACATGGGCGCTTCCCAACCACGTGCTTCCTGGAATCCTGCAGATTCCTCTTGGCACTCCTCTTCGCACGAGGGGTGAGGGGGCCCGGGGAGACTGGGGAGAATGACAGGAGGAGGTGACAGAAGCTTAGTTCAGACCTCACCTCACCATTCGCTTCTGATCCTTCTTTAAAAAAAATTATCTGAAAGAACATTTCTAGAGTATTGATTATAGACAGGCATTTTTATACTAATCAATCCGTGCTAGTCCCATAGCTTGTTTTTCAAAATTTTTTACCTCTGCACATTCAAATATTTCTCAAATATTGTGTGTTTCTCAAATATTGTATGTGTGCATGCATGTGTGTGTGTGCATACAGGTGCACATGTGTGTGTGTGTGCATGTACATGTGGTGCTGAACACGGAACCCAAGGATTTGTGTTTGGCAAACATGGAGTGACACCTCCCATCCTCCAAACATTTCTGATAGAGCAGAATTTGACCAGCAATTTCTCATTGGCTCTCCATCGTGACAGGACTGCTGCGTCACAGGGCTGTATATATTAAAGGTCTGCTTTTCTGTGTTGCATGCAGGTGATGAGTGACGGACGCTTGCAGAGCCTGCAGCCCACCTCAAGGCCCCTCCTAACCGTCACACTGTTCGGGAGGTTTTACGACAGAGATGGGCTGCGGGACGCTTCCATAGACCTCGGGGCCCATGCGCTGAGAGGACTGGTTATGGTGCTGATGCCCATCCTATATGCATTATGTTGGTAGAATATTTCCATTTGTCTTTCCTTCGGGATAATTTAAACATGATGGTTGAAGATGGGGTAGGTCTGGGCTTCTGCTAAGAGCAGGATTCTGATAAAAGTGAATGATTAATATATGTTTCTCTTTATTTACATTAACACACATCTCAGAAATACGAGGTTAATATAATAGATATTAAGGTAAATTTTAAAAGCTGTTTTGGAGTTTGTCTTTCTTAGAACTGAGGTATTTGTACCAACTGAGTGTTACACACATATTATGCAGAAGAAATAAAAGTTTCAATTAAGTACATAAAAATTACCCTAATATACTTATAAGAAGTCTGAATCTATGATCACATTTATTTCTTCAGTTCTGACTTTGTTTCCTCTGTTACTTACATGAACAAATACATTTCGATTCTCTCATGGGCTAAATAGTGTCACCCAGGTTAGTAAACTGAAGGCCTTAACTCCCCATACACCCAAATGTGACTGATTTTGGGACAGTATTTGAAGGGTAAGGTGAGGTTGTGAGGGTGATCCTAAATTCCTGTGACTGATGGATGTTCTCCTAAGAAGAATTCAGACACCCTGTGCAGAATGGAGACAGCCACCTACAGGCCAAGGAGAGGTATCTCAGGAGAAACCAAATCTGCCAACCCGTGGGTCTTGAACTTCCAACCCTAGGATCACGAGACAATAAATTTCTGTCATTCAAGTCACCCAATCTGCGGCACTTTGTTAAAGCAGCCATGGCAAACTGATGCAAAGTTGCGTCTTCCCTGCTCGCTTGCCTCTCACATTCTTGTGTGGGGATGAACGCTTACCAAGGGGGGACCCTCCAGGTCATCTGAGTCCGCAGGACTCCAACAGAGACTTCGTGGAAAGAACTGCTGAGGCCTCCATAGTGAAACCACAGGATCATAGCATGCCCTGAGGAATTAGGAACTAGAAAGCCACAACTTTGAAAGTAAGTATTTAATTTAGCATCACATGTCTTTTTTCAGTGACAGCAGAATCTCCTGACCCCGTGCAGCCTAGTGAAGCAAAGAACCCCCTTAGTCACACATTTCTCTACTGACAGATGGTCCTCATGGGACTGGTAACTGTCACATCTCCTACACAGTGTGCCCTTCCAGAGTGATCTGTACTAAGAGCTCACTGTGGTACAAGATATGTATTTTGTGGCAGTTGCATTTCTTGAAAAATGCTACCTCACCCAAAATACATTTAAGTTATTAACATATTAAGCCATTTTGTGTTTTGTGTGGCACTGACTTTTTAAAGAAAATAAGAAAGGCTGTTACGTATTTAGAAAGAGTTCATCAGGATAAACTCATGTCTTATTTTTTACTTGTGGCTGAGACAAAATACCTGATGCCCAAAGTTGGCAAGGGAAGGTTTATTTCTTACAGTTTTTGGAGGTTTCAGTCCATACTCAGTTGGCTCCAAGGCAGGGTGGCATGGCTGGGCCGCAGTTCATGGTGGCTGTAAATAGCAAGACAGAAACCGCCAAAAGAGCAAGACACAACTTCTTCCTGCCATTACATCACATCTTGGCTCCACCCTTATGTGGGAGTAGCACTGACACCACCAATCCAAGCGCTAGACAATGAACCATCACAAATGCATAATGCAAATGCATGAGGCCTGGGGGACACTGACATAAACCATGACACCTCAGTACTGTCACTTAATGTTAATTTAAAGCAGAAAATATTCAAATTGTCAATGATAGGCTTAAAATATTAAGAGCTTCAAACTATCAATTCTAAATGCCTCCTTTCTGTCCAACACCAGCTAAATGTGTCACCCACCGTGTTATGACAAATTACCTACACATTGTCATTTTAAAACAATAACAGCTGGGTATGTTGGTGCATCCATGGAATCCCAGCACTTGGGAGACTGAGGCAGGAGGAGTGCTCTGAGTTCGAGGCCAGTCTGAACTACAGAGCAAGATCCTGTCTCAACAAAACAAAATGAACAACCAAAAAGTCCAGAAACGAAAGAAAACAGCAACAAAATACCAGGTTATTGTCTTCCAGAGGTTCTGAGGGTCACCATCTGCAAGGGGCTCATCTGGATTCTGCTGGCTCAGAGTGTTTCTGGAAGCCACAGCTCACCTGTGGCAAAGGCTGCAGGCATCCCAAGACTTGCCTGGGCAGGAGACGCTGCGGTAACCGTGCTCATACAGCTGCCAGGGGCCTCCATTCTGGAAGTTGGTTGCTGTGTCTTTTCCTTTTCATGTGGGCCTCTCTGTAAGGTCCTAGAAAGTTTTCACAGAATGGGCACTGACTTCTCCCAGAGTGAGGGGAGACAGAGACAGAAAGAGAAAGAGACACACACACACACACACACACACACACACACACACACACGCATACACACACACACAGAGAGAGAGAGAGAGAGAGAGAGAGAGAGAGAGAGAGAGAGAAACCAGAGATGGAAGTCACAGTCTTACAAACCAATCAGAGACATGATATCACTTCTGACATATGCTAGTGGTCATGCAGACCAGCCATCACACTGGAGAGAAGTCGCACAAGTGAGACTCTCAGGAGATAGAATCCATTTAGGTGGTCATGCATGCTGGCTTTCCTAATGAGTGAATGGACTTATGTTTATAAATGTATGTATTCGCTATATAATTTTAAAAGATGCTGTTCTTCCCCTTTTTGCTATACATGACATGTCTCTAAAGATATTCTGGTATTTGAATCCTAAAGGCATAAAACCAAAGAACTTTCTATGGTTACTTTGTATAATTAAATTAGATAATTAATGATTTGCACTTTTAGCCATAGTAAAGTTGAAGTTCTAGAATCAATTCATAAAGTGATATTACTAGAAAAAAGAGCCTAAAGATGTTATACTTACTTAACTAAGGCTTTTTAAAGTAAGATTTTTTGGTAATAATCTATAAACTATATTTTTAAAAATGAAAGAAACCTGACTCAAGTGATTGCAGTGTCTTGCATATCAAGAAGAATACCAAAAAAGTCAATTAGAGAAGCATGTCAGTACCAAAATCTGTCCTAAAATACCTCTCCTGGCACTTACACACTGCATCCTTGCATTTCACCTACTTCTCTAATCTATGGTTGCTCTGGGCATTACCCTTATTCTATGCATCACTTTCATTTTTGTTTCTGTAAAGACTACAGTTCTTAGATAAGGAATATGCCCAGCATCTACTACAATTCTCACGCAGCATGCACTAGTGTACCATAGGATTATTGCTTGGAGTACTGAGAGTGCAAAAATAAATCTACATTCTAATAATATTCCTAACTACGTAGTTGATACAATTAAGTTGAAATCAAACGGTTAGAAACGGTATAGGACATGGTAAATCTAACGAGCACTTACATTAAAGACTAAAAGCACTGGAACTTTTAATATGAGCAAGGCACCCATAAATTAAAAGTAGTGTAACGCAGTTATTGCATGCACTGTTTTTATCATGGTAATTTATAGATTAAACCTAACCCAAATTTTATAATCTGGAAAATTGAGACTATTTATACAAAATCTTAAAAGCTTTAAAACTGAGATCTACTATTTTACTGAAATTCTTGGTAAATTCAAAGAGAGATAGACATAGGCAAGAAACAATGCTGAAAAGCAAATTGTAGGGGCTGGGATTTAGTGCAGGGGCTGGGGATTTAGCTCAGCGGCATAAGCGCCTGCCTTGCAAGCAGGCAGTCGTGAGTTCAATCCCTGGTACCGATAAAAAGCAAAAAGACAAAAAAAAAAAAAATGTGCAAATTGTAAAGAAAAAGAGGAGGGGAGGAATGTGACCTGTGCACCCCATAGTCTGGGAAGACATGGCATGTATTTCAATGCTAAAAGACCAAGTTTCTCAAAACAGTAATGCAAAAGATCACATGCATACTGTCATACATACACAAAGTCCCATGATTATACACTGGTGACCACAGGCACAGGCCAAAGCACCAGTGGGGACCCACACTTGGACACAGATACCAATGTGAAAGCAGGTGTGTTTATATTTTAGAAAAGTGTTTATGACAAAAATGTTTGCTGGGGCATGGCGCTATCAGACAGGAAACAAATTATCCATCATTGCTAAAGCCCCCTTGGAAATGCCAAATGCCATCTGACAGGTGTGTACGTGGCTGGTATGTGAAGGGTGGGGTGTTCCTGCTCATCGGGGAGCCCCAGTATTACTGTCCTCTGGCCTTCTGCATCTTGGGAGGACGGTGGCCATGGTGTCCTTTCTACACATAGCTCAGCGTGCTCAGATTTCAGCATCTGGGTGTGAGGATGGAGAGAGCTGTCTTAATCTCTTACTCTGGTTTTCATTTACCCATGGACAGTGTGTGTTCACCAGCGTGGAGCACTGCTGAGCGTGGGATTCTGGACAGCAAGATCTCTGTGGTCTGGTTCCAACTCCTCAGTGGCCTGAGCGATGATAGGACAACGAGCTCCTGTGTCTGGTGGTTTGTTGACAGCGCTGTCTCTGACTGATGAGGGCTGAGTATATGATTTTGAGACAGGTATAGTGGCGAGCGCAGGCCAGATGGTAGTACCAGTGAAGAAGCCCGCTGAGCAACTGGCTGCAGCTTGGGAATGTGGAGCCGCTATCGTGACACCATTCACGTAGTCCAACTGCCACAGAAAGGACTTCTGTCTGTAAGGTGGGACCCAAGAATACCAACTTGGGACCATTGGGCTGTGGCACTCTTCATTTGCCCTTGTCCCTATTCTTTATGAAAGGCACTTTTCAGATGATAAAAGACCACCTCTATTTTCTCCAACAGAGACTTAGGGAACACGGAAGTTGAGGAGAGGGATAAAGGTGGGCTTTGGGCTCGGACATTTCCTTCATCTCAACTCACTCAGTTTTATCTTTAATATGAATCTCAGACCTTCCAGAATGTGACTGTGGTCTTGTTCTTCCTCTTTTTTGCCAAAAGCATTCCATTTTAAGGTGATAGCAGAAAGGAGACAGGGAAAATATAGGTTTTTATCTCTAGAAATACATCAGTATAAAATCAAGAAAATAAAGAGCAATTTTGGGTTTTGGGAAGAGTGAGTCCTTAGAGAGGCTTCAAGTCTAAGGGCGGCAGTGAGGAATGCTACTACTTGCCTGGAACTGTGGTCTTGCAGAATATTCAGAATTACCATCAAGAAAGAAAAAAGCTGCTGTGGAACACAAAATTACCCGTCCAGGATTCCACAGCCCCTCACCACTGACTTCCTGAGCCAGAGAATGTTCATCCCCTCTCACCTTCAAAGTAGAGTCGCTCTTTCCCTGCACATGATCGAGCTTTTGCAGCTATTTAG